CCCCAAAACCCCAAAACCCCGTTATTTAATATTTAGAAAGAATATTTAATGAAAATAAAATAAATTCTGATATTGTATAGATCAATATTCTTATTATAAACAGGGTCTAATTATTTTAATTCAACGGGAGAAAAGTCAGCAAGCCTCAAGTAAATCATTTATACTTAAACTAAATATGCAATCAAAGATATTAAATTTAACCTCAAATAAAATAAAGATATAAATAAACGATGGGATTGTGCTGTTCAACTTAATAAAACTAAACACTTGTAACAGATATACCTTAATAAAGTGCAAGGAGAATCATTCAATACAGAGATGATGCCTATTTCACTAGAAGTGAAGATTAAGAAGCCATTAAGTTTAACTTTTGGAGTAATGAAACTGTAAAAGGAGTAAAAAACAACGGTTGGAGATGCGATGCAGCATCATTACTATAAAATGGTTGCTAGAGAGGATTAAACAAAGAGAACTAAACTTATGATGAGGAAGGATTTTTCGATCTATCCTCTGATTTCGTATTGTGCAAACACTGTGCAAAAGCTGCATAAAATCCACAAAACTTGATTAAGTGGTCCGCTTATATATCAAAAGAAGGAATCAAAGGTGTTTTGGACCTTTAATACTTTATCATTATTAGAAAAGCAATAATTGGTGCAGGAAAATTTTAAGACGTTCAATTTACAATTCAGGGAGCCTATGATCTCTCAACTGGAGATATAACTCTGAATAAGCTTAATGAAGGAGAAGAAAAAGAAACATCATTCAGGGGACGATCAGATGAGCATTTTACCGTTATTAGAACTAAATATGTTCACAGAGATGGAACAGTTTTCAAACTAAAAGTAAGCAAAGGTACTCTAAAGGCTAGAAAGATTCAGGAAAACTTTGACTTACCATCTGGATCTCTTCAGCTTTCTGTACATAATTGTGAGCTGGTCGGACCTCAGGTAAGAAACACCGGTTGGGGATGTGACGGAAGAAACATATTTAAAAAGTGCTTTGGAGGAATCACGGGCTTTGACTAAACAGAAGGAAAAAGTGAATATAGATGTGAAACTCATCAATTTGATCTCTGCTTGGAATGCGCTCAGAATGTATACAAATTTGACTAGCTAGGAGAAAGAAGCAAGTAAAACTGGTCTGGCTTTTGGATTATGGCAGCAGATAAGGGAGAAATGAATTTTGAAAGATTACACATTGCGAAAGAAATCGTTTACGGAAAGGGTAATGATCAGATAGGAGATTTTATTATTTTTGGGAAATATGAATATTCTAATGGCAAGATGAAATTCAGAAAGCAATACATAGGAAAGCATTTTGTCACATACATAGGAGTAATTTCTAACTAGGGCAAAACAGTAAAAGGAGATTGGAAAATTAAAAGCCAAAACAAAGGTGAGGAACCAATCGCTACTGGTACCTTTGAGTTAGCAAAAGAGTGATTTGATACTCACCACAAAAAGAATATAATAATTCTTTTTCATTGACACAAGTGCTTGTATTCCCTGACTTATCTTATTCTGAAAAATGCTTTTGAAGTTATGATCCATGAAGGATTTGGCATTTGATGAATAATTTCCTTGAATTTAAGGGTATGATACCAAAGTACTTTATTTATTAAAAGTTTAATATTTACATTAGCCTGATTCTCAGATAATTAATTTTTATTTATCAATCAGACTCTCTTAGAAATGATGAGAAGAGGGGTTTTGGGGTTTTGGGGTTTTGGGG